CCAGGGATCTTACTCCGATTTTTAAGTATAGCACATTTTCTTAAAAGAAATCTTACTGGGAAGTTACTTACCACTAAGTAATCGATTTGTGATTTTCCCAAGANCGGTAGCCAGTTATTAGAAATCTGAAAGTCAATTTACTACCATCATATCATTATTCGTCGTGAGAGGTCTAAAAAATTTGCTGTGGATTCGATGTCGATTAAATATAATGGAAAATGAACAGTGCAGTGGATGTATTTCTTTCCAGCTTCTGAGTGGAGCGAAGAAGCTTATGGTTTTACAAAGATAATAATTTTTTATTTTTATCTCGACAATTTGTCTACCAGGGATCTTACTCCGATGTTTAAGTATAGCACATTTTCTTAAAGGAAATCTGACTAGGAAGGTACTTACCACTAAGTAATCGATTTGTGATTTTCCCAAGAGTTTTCACAACAAATGTGAAAAACCGGGAAAATCGGTACAATATTAATCAAATATTATCAAACAAAATGTGTAATGCCTAGATAATTATTTTAGCGTAATGACATAATTCAAAATGCATAAATGTATTATAGAAAAATGAATAGGCAACTCACCAAATAATGTTGTTAACTATTGTAGCNTGGGAAGTTACTTACCACTAAGTAATCGATTTGTGATTTTCCCAAGAGTTTTCACAGCAAATGTGAAAAACCGGGAAAATCGGTACAATATTAATCAAATATTATTAAACAAAATGTGTAATGCCCAGATAATTATTTTAGCGTAATGACATAATTCAAAATTCATAAATGTATTATCGAAAAATGAATAGGCAACTCACCAAATAATGTTGTTAACTATTGTAGCATGAAATATCAACATAATATGTCTAATAAATTCACTAAAATTCTGAAAAATAATAAANATGTGAAAAACCGGGAAAATCGGTACAATATTAATCAAATATTATTAAACAAAATGTGTAATGCCTAGATAATTATTTTAGCGTAATGACATAATTCAAAATGCATAAATGTATTATAGAAAAATGAATATGCAACTCACCAAATAATGTTGTTAACTATTGTAGCATGAAATATCAAAATAATATGTCTAATAAATTCACTGAAATTCTGAAAAATAATAAAAATAATGTAAAATTCACGTTTAAGACTAATAATAATTTAATCAAACATATAAACAATAGAACTAAAAACTTCACCAAACATCTTTTGAAAATGCTGGTATATAATATGGTAAATATAAATGTAGCTGTAATAAATTGTATATAGGTAAGACAAATAGAAATTTTAAATTAAGATATAAAGAACACATTTTTGAAATAAAATTAAAAAAGACTACCTCTAATTCAAATTTGGCTTAACAAATTTTAAAAATAATATCAAATATTAATACATTTTAGATAACNCTTCACCAAACATCCCCTATCTTTTGAAAATGCTGATATATATGAATTTAAATGTATCTGTATACAATGAATTGTATATAGGTAAGACAAATAGAAATTTTAAATAAAGATATAAAGAACACATTTTTGAAATAAAATTAAAAAAGGTGTAGTCTTTAATTCAAATTTGGCTTTTCATGTTTTAGAAAATAACCATAATATAAATTTTGATATTAATACAGACTTAGAAATATTAAACACCCAAAATAAAATTAACATTAATTTAGGTTTAGGAGAATTACACATACACAATGAAATAAAGAAATATAATTTTAATAATATTTTTAATGTTAAAACAAATTTTAAAAATAATATCAAATATTAATACATTTTAGATAACAAGAAATAACCAAATAATTTAACAATTCTTAACATATCTATGTCTAATATTAACTAATTTTAAATGATCTCTCTTATTGAAATTAATTATTTCTATATTTTTTGTATAGCGAACAATTTTTATAATTTTTTTCTATGTATTTCTTCATTTAATTTTTATATTCAATATAATATGTCACCGGTGTCTAATGAAATATATCCTTGCAGATCAAGAAATTCTACCAATTTCTTCCAGTCACTAACCATCACATTTTTAACTAAACATTTTTCCACTAGAACAAAAAAGGAAAATTTTAAACTAAAATAATAAGTCAATAATTATATTATTTGAAATCTTAGGCTCAGATTTAAATACCTTAACTTTTATGATATATTGACTGCTCAAAGTGATCAAATACACAATTTATTTTATATTATGAAAAATGATTTATTACAGTTTTTATTAATTGATTTTTTAAGAAATATATATAAAAACAATAGTTTATACAAATAAAATCATAGTATTAAGTTTTTCAATATAACAAGTATAGAATACCTTAACCTTANTTTCAATTTTTCAAGTTGATGTATGAACAACCATAATTTGATATTTATATAGTTCAAGAGCTTCTAATTTAGTTGTATATGTTATCGCTCTGGAAAAATTTGACCTAAAAAAGGTCATAGTCATGAACTCTTGAAGGCATTAACATGTCACCAGTGTCTAATGAAATACATCCTTGCAGATCAAGAAATTCTACTAATTTCTTCCAGTCACTAACCATCACATTTTTAATTGAACATTTTTCCACTAGAACAAAAAAGGAAAATTTTAAACTAAAATAATAAGTCAATAATTATATTATTTAAAATCTTAGGCTCAGATTTAAATATCTTAACTTTTATGATATATTGACTGCTCAAAGTGATCAAATACACATTTTATCTTATATTATGAAAAATGATTTATTACGGTTTTTACTAATTGATTTTTTAAGAAATATATATAAAAACAATAGTTTATACAAATAAAATCATAGTATTAAGTTTTTCAATATAACAAGTATAGAATACCTTAACCTTATTTAACAAGAAGCTATTTTCAATTGAAAAAATACTATACAATATGTCAATGTTTAAGATATTATATTAAATTAATTTTTTTTTATTATTTTTTCATTTTTGAGCAATATGAATCACTTTTACAATTACTAAATTGTTCATACTAAACATGTATTCATAGTAATACAGCTCCAAGAAAACACACTCTGGTAACAGTTACAAGTTCTTCTAGTTTTAAATATACAAAACCATACTTCAGTGAATGGTTCATATAATTAAATTATTGCATGTTTGAATCCTATAATTATTCCATTATTTTTGGTTTTATATTGAAAAACATTTTTTTTTTGTTTGTGTGTTCTCAATCAGAAGAATATAAATACACACATACATATAAATATATATAAATGTATATATAACCTAACTAAATACATTGTATACTAAATATACTAAATACATTTTACCTAAACAACCGAAATATTAATTATAATAAAGTAACTCTATTAAAGTATTAAATATCGGTCACAACATAGTTCTTTAAATTACCCTCATTATACACACAATCATAATTTTACAGACAAAATTAAATTAATATAAGTAGGCACTATATGATGTATATAACCGGATAGATGGTGCATTTGAAATTATTCTCATCTTAAAATGTTGTTATCTAAATAAAGAAATTTGTAACAAAATGATGCTACTTATTTATTTACCAGCATATAGTACTATTAAAAAATATATAATAATTATGAGTACTAACTAATGACAAGAAAAATGATATTAATTTATTGAATTTCAATATAACTAAATTACTGATGTAAATTGTTATAAACAACTTAGTGATAACAGATATTCATTATAAAGAGTTTAATTTATTTTAAAGTTTATGTATGCTGTTTCAAGTGAAAAATCTATGTTGTTCATAGTGTGACAGAAATAATTAATGTGGTTATAAATTATACATAAAATAGAATTATAAATATTTAAAATATGTACATTTAAGTAGTAGAGATATGAGGATCCTGGCGCAACCTGATATTTTGACTCTTAAAAACTAATTTCAGATCTCTATTCTCATTATTCTATGTGTTCTACATTGTTCAATGTGTAAAAAAAAAATGATGTATAGTCAATAGAATAAATACTATGTTAATTGTTTTTTAAATGAAAATTTTAGATAATGAATGTGAAATAGATTACAAATATATTCTGATTTACAAAGGTTTTACAAGCCTCATTTTATTTTAAATATATACTTTTTCCTATATAGGTACCTACTATGTGAATACAATTTCTAGAATTAACAGAAATGCCAAAATATTTTGTACTGAGTGGTCTTAAAAAAAAAAAGTATTTAACTGAAGTAAATTTTTATTTAAAAGGAATTTTATTATCAAAAATTGACTTTATAAAATTTATTGTTCAAAATGTGATAAGGACAATAATTAGCTATGTTTCAGACTGTTCAAAATGAACCATCTTCTAGAAATTATTTTCAAGATAACCTAACCACTTTTGATCCAAATATAAAAATTAAACATGATCGATGAGTGAGAAAGCTAATACTATTATTTAGAATACAAGGTCTATAAAATAATACTTTGACTATGGAAAGTTTATTCTCCATTCAAATTGTTTTTACATTTTTCTTTGTTCACATACTCAAATTATAGTTCTGATTAATCAAAAAATCACAAAATACTTTTTTGTGGCCTTTTTGATTTACTTCCTTACGGTATCATCGCAAAAACTTTTGAACCACTATTGAGTTATAAAGGAATTTTAATGTAGGCTGATTTTACATGGGTCATTTTTTGGTTTTTTGAAACGGTATTTAAAATAAAATTTCGCTAATTTAAATAAGTACCTACCACGTTATCTAGCACAAATATGGCTCCAGAAAAAAAATAAAACGTCAAGGGACCATTTTTTTCGAATTATCAATCTTATTTCTAATGATGCAGGTGGTTTTTTTTCAATAAATAAGCGTTAAGCTCTTTGAAATCAAATTGAATACAAAATCTACGATTGCAAAAATATAACCAATCTGAAAATTTGCACGAAAACAGAAAAAAATATTTTTCCATTTCATTTTATCATGAGATTGTCAACCACTATCTTTTATCAATATCGTTACAATCATTCTTATTGAAAAAAAAAAACAAATTTTTTTTTTTGTGTTAAGAATTTATGATTTTCAATTTATCATCCATTCCTGTGGTTATTTAACATTTATACTTAGTCAAAAAGTCATAAGTCATTTTACACTTTAAACATTCATTACCTGTGAAATACGAACGTTTTAAATGTTTCGTTTTTGTTTTATTTCTAAGGTAATCTATATTGGATTGTCCGTCAGTCTTCTTGAACGTTCCCAAATGATGAGCCATGAGGTAGTATATTTATTTGTATAACATAAACAATTCAATGTTTTCATCTATTAATTCATTTAAATCTATTGTAGTTTGATAACAATATCACTTAATAATGAATGAATAAACGTGCATGTGCAAAACTGTCTGTCGCGTTTGCTGGTTTTCTGGGATGATCCATTCATTATCAAACTTCACAATACCTACCTATGTGAAACTATTTCGTTTAGTTGGCTGGATAAACGTAAAATTATAACTTATTTTATTTTTATTATTATGGGTAATATTTGCAGCAAAATTTGATTTCTGATATATTTTTTTAAAAAGGACAGGATGAGGTAGTGATAGTCAATGGGTGTCCATGTATTTAAAAATCAAAATTGAAATACAGTGGAACCTCGATAAATCTAAATAAATGTCTTGTAAAAACTTCGATTACTCAAAAAAACAAAAAGAATTGTAGATAACTTGAACATTCTGCGTCCCGAATATAGACATATAATGAGAATAATTTCAAATGCACCTCCTATCTAGTTATATTTTCTATGTACAAATTCTTTGTATAAAAAAAATATACATCATATAGTGCTCACTTATATTAATTTAATTGTGGTTTGTTAGTCAAATTATTGCTGTATGTAATCATAGTATTTTGACAGGCCATAAACTAATTTTTTCATATCTAGATTTTTTAACTAACCTTTTCAGTCATTATTTTCTTTTAAGATTAGTTTTTAAACTGTTGTTCATAAATTATTAAATCTGTAACCTTAATGTTAATAAATTAAATTTTTACATATTTTACAGTGCAATTCAAAATATATTAAATAGTGACATGTATTGTTTTTAGATGCAAATTTAATTTTTTTTTATAGTTGTGTATATGAAGAACTAACCATGTCATCTACAAATAGGAGTCACCATAGTTCTGGCAGTTATGGACCTACAAAAATCATAGATGATATAAAAGATTCAAGTTTTAAGCTTTCATTCAAACATGGTAAGGGTATTTTTTCATTAATTTTCCGTTTATATTTTTTATTTTTGCGATTTTGACCTTCTTGTCCCAATCTCATCCAATTCTGCTTGTTAGCTACTTTTAATTTTTAGTCTGATTCTTCATTAATACCAATGTCCTGTAAAGTGTTGACTTACGCTGACTGTGAACTCATGTTTAGTAACAAATTTAACCACTGGTTAAATATTATTGCTGAACAGACATTGTAAGAGCGGGTCTTTTGAGATTTCATGTCCCTGTACTTAATCTACCCAACTACAATGGTGTTTTAAATTTATAAGATGTTTTTTTTTTAGGATGGAAATGAGAATTAGTCAGGAGAAATGCGAAAAATAAAAATAGAACACAATTTGACATTTATTTTTATGGCCCGACCAATAAGAAACTCAGATCATTATGGGAAATAAACTTACAATTAAACTCTGAGACTTCACTAACAATAAAAAACATTACTTTCTAAAAAAAAACCAATTGGAATGGATGAATGGAAAGAAATAATTTTTGATGCCATTTCTAAAGTAAGATATTTTATTGAATGTTGTTTAATTTTGGTTTATATATATTATAATGTGTTTTTTCGTTACGGGTTAGTGAGCCAGAGGCTCAGGCCTAAAATAAAGGAAGCAGACACAGTTTTAGGTAATTAATTATACTGACCACAGCTCGTGTAATAGTATTGCTTCAATTAATTTGTATGGATCAGTTCTTAAATTTGTTCCACGTAATTTTTCACTTAAACTGATTTCCTCAAAATTTGATATTGCGATTCTTTTATAGGGTTTTCCAATTAGAGAGGGCCGATCTTATCTGCGCTGTATAGCCTTATCATTTTGTTGATGTCTTTCTAATTTATTGTTTATTATAT